AATCAATAGTCTACACACTGTACAGAAAGAGCGAGATGAAGAGTTCATTCATATGTCGGCTGCTTCACTCGTCGGTAAAGGTGACATTTTTTTACCCTTGGAAATAGAAAAATTCTATCCAAAAAAAGGAGCTGTCTTTTACCGATAAGGCGACCCCAGTTCTTTTACCGATTCAATTTTCTAGGAAATCTAGTTAGGCTTAAATTTTTTCAAGTTTATATTTCTGAAAGAAAGACAAAATAAATTTCTTCTTTGGTCAGTTTCTGCTAAAAATACTTTTTCCTTAAATAACTGAGCAAGGAGGAGCACCGTCTCAACAAGGCTGCTCATCTGTCGGCGTTACGTAACTTGTTTTGGAAGGAGGAGAAAGACAGCGATATGTCAAAGTTAATAAAGTGTTGGGAAATTTGCCCTGTACGACACAACCTGTCCATTCAATTTAACCTGTTACGTGTACATCTATACCTGAAAATTCCCAATTTAATCAAATGAAACCTTGTATATGTTTGGGTTTCATAACGCCGCAGAAATCCAATCTCTTATCAGTTGCGCTTATACAACAGGTCTGCTCACTCACTCGCGGTGGTGATTATCTTGTTTCGTTGACAAAATTAGTTTTGGATGATGAAATTAGTTTTGGATGAGTCCCAAGATTGTGAATTCGCTTTGTAGCTTAAAATAAATTCTTGGAATTTTTTTACGCAATTTGGCTCATGAAGCCAATTAAGGGAAAATTTCATTTCGTTCAATTATTATGTCCCTGCTGAAAATATTCGGTCCTTAATAAGCCGAAGTCTGATAAGGATTGATGTATGAATACGGGATGGAATGAAACTTTAATTAATTTAACTTATCTAACATATGTGGATACGCAATAGATTTACCCGTAAAGTTGAAATAAGTTTAGTTAATTCCTTCAAATCTGTTGCGAAATGGAGGGAAATATAGCGACTGGCATGAATCCTCTCATTTGTTGGAGCTGAATGGAGTGAAAGCAAAGTGAAAGCTCGCCAAATAGCTATTTTCAAGAGATTCCGTTACATGCATAAGGAAAATGAGGGTACATTTACGTATGGAATCCTTGTGTATTTAATGGACGGCGGAGAACAATACAATGGCACCCGTTGTTCTGATGGCTCCCTATTGTTCCAGGATTATCTAAGCATGGTGTCATTTTCAGGTCTATGCTTATTGTTCAACGTCAATTAAGCGTTATATGCATGCATGTAACGTGTATCACAATTTGTTATCGAGAAATACGTAATTCGATGAGCTCTAAATGGACAAAAGTCTAATAAAAAATGTGAAATGTAATAAAATACGGCATGTTTAAAAAAAATGATATTTCGCAGGAGACTGGAGCCTACTTCAATTTCAGTCTGGTTCGTGGAAACGCTATATTTTTCAACGTTTCACGCCCACTTCACTCGTTCTATTTTCTTATTGAAATTACTCCCTGGCGAATTTTAATATTTATACGGCACGCATGACTATGACACATGCAACAATGTTATCTGAAGATAAATTTACTGGTGTCTCGGAATAAATTTATTTTATTAATTCATGAGTTACATTTACATTCAGGGAGGGAAGAACGCCACAAAAATTACATTCATGTAAAAAAACGTTCTGGAGTCCATTATTCTTATGAAGCGGGTGGGGGGTGGTTAACTGTATTATGTGCATGTCTACGGGCGGAGTATTGTATTACTGGCATTGTATTATGATGTATTGAATTATTAAAATTTATTTTATCATTGCAACGGAAGAAGATGGATGTGCTCACATTTATTTTTCTAAGGTGAGACAAGAAGCACAATGGAGGTCTCCCAGCGTATACTCTGAGATTTTGACGAAAATAATGCCAGACAAACTTAATTAACGTAAAATTTAGAAAGGATACTGTCTGCAAATTCTGCTGTATAGCAAGCAGAGATATTTGCATTCACAAAAAGGAAATATCGCCCCCTCAAGAGAACAAATTTTGCACTATCCAACGTCCCTGCTCGTTTTCTCCTCTTCGGATGTAAACTTCTCCGACAAATCTAACCATTGGCAGATCGTATCTTTGGCAAATTTCATATTCATTAAATTTGGGATCGACTGACACCACATAATTTTGTCAAAATAGGAGAACATACACTAGGAGACCTCAATTGTTGGTGGAACCGATCCTTCATTTAGCATGCTACGAACTTGCGCGTGGAGAGATTCAAGTTCTGCACGTACGACATTTTCTTTACCGAATACAAATGCACCTTCATAATTTTACACTTTCACCATCAACACAAGTACTTATAATGATTTTCTCAATTTCTTGTCCGGAAATAAACTAACGCAGCTTAAATCTAAGTAGCTTACAGCGTCTACGATTCATGACAATTTACGTCACAGGCAGTTATTTAGGTAACAAAACCTTATCATGTTTATTGAATCGGATTGGATTTTATACTTTTTCCATCGCCAAAACGGAATCAGGGCAGAAATTGCGGAAAGAAACTAACAAGTATGTAAAAGAAGACCTCCATATGCAAATATCTCAGCGCACAAAAGTAGCAAACTGAACCAATAGGATGACAAAGATGTCGACAGGAAAGATGGATGTGTGGAGCTCTCAGGTGCATAAATCATACGAAACCTTTCTCTCTTGGCCCGACCAACTTTTGTTGGATTTTGATCAAGTAATATTCCCAGATTTTTCTCAAGGATTGCGAACGAAAAGTGGAAAATACATTCATGGGATGATCATCAAAGCATTTTACAAAGAAACGGGTATCCTTTGAGGATTTGAGAAAATTATGATATTCTCCAGCAACTGGATATTTATTCGCACAAACTACTTCTTCCACCCAGTTTTTGCACCAGTGAAACGAGCGAATACTAATTTTAGATCCAACGTTTCTTTCTGAAGAAAAACATGAATGATGTGTACCTGCTGTGAAGGGATATTATTATTATTTGCTGGCTGAACATAGGCACTTGAGTTTTCTGTCATTTTTCTTATTTCCCTTCTCCAGAGAATTCCGTATTCTCAGTAGAAACATGAACTTGATGAATCGCCTCAACTCTTCATCTCCTCCTCTCGAGGAATACGTGGAATGGTGACATTAAATTAAGATAAAATATGATGAATAGAAGCAACGCGAGAAGATAGATCTCCGTCGTCGTTGTCGTCGTCCTTCTCGTCGTAATAACCTCGAGATTCATATTACATACGCTTTTCGTCAACAGAACAGCTGCCACGCTGTGCGGCAAACACCAATTTAAGGTAAAAAGAACGCCATGTGATTAGTAGACTGTTCATACATATAGCCGATACTTATTCATGTATGGATTTCTTTGATATTTACGTAACTAGAATTGCCCAATTATTAACCGAACCGATATCTACTACATTGGATATTCGCCCAAGGTGAGACGACGACCCACCCTTTATCCACATCTCACTAATTGCCTCTGGCAAGTTTAACCTATCCACAAAATGTCTGCGGAATAGTAAACTTTGTGAAAGGCAAGTTTTGGACAGTGGCCCAAACATTGGTGAAAACATTGAAACAAGCAGTTTCAGTGAAAACTAATTTCTCATTGATTCCTCTCCTCCGCCCTCTCGGATGATCACTCAACAGAGAGCGTGAGGACCGATAAGTACTTACTCGATGATGATGATCAAGTCCCCAAAGAACAAATACCCGTGGTCACATCACCCTCCTCCTAATGGAGCAACTTCATTAATTTAAACTTAATTACGCAAACTTTTCAAAAGCAAAGTAGCACCAAAATTATTTATTTGCCAGTGCCAAACACTTTCTCCTAGTAGTCGGCTCACTCAAATGGTGACGACAATGGCAAAGTTCTCATCATTCCCTCGTCTCATGTGATGATGTCCACTGGTGAAAGTGAAAGTACAGCCGAACCCAGACCCCGTCGGGGCTGGTGACATACATATCGCCACATCACTCACTCAGTCAGTCACTCCTCTGGATCTTCTTGGCTAATGTGATTGAAAGTGCAAGGAAAGCAGAGTGCAGTAAATTTCTGCCTTAATCCACTTCACAACTTGCCACTCTCCATACAAGTACGCAGCCATCACCACATCTCTCATTTTATCCGCTCCACAAAACAAACTCGATTTGCTTTGACAAAGGCTGAGGGGACCTTATTTCGCAGAGAAGAGAATGGGAGCAGACAAACCTTGGTTTATATTCCTTTTAAAGTATTCAATTCCATTTTCCTTCAAGCTCTTTTGACTTTTGCCATTGACACATCCATCCAACAAATGCCGTTCCCTTTGAACAACGGCGGAGGTATTTCCTTCCTTCCTCTCCGTCCTCCCTGCTCAACCTTGCGAATTCAAGATTTCAACGTGATTACACTAAATATGTAGCATCCACTTGGATGAAAGTGAACGTTCATGGGTATTATTGAGATGGGAAATGGTTCTTCTTATTCCAGAAGCTAGATTCGATTTCCGTCTTCGTCTTCTGAACTTTTAGTCGAGCCATAGATGAAAAGTTATGATGATTTTCGTGGATGAAATGCTTCCCAGATAATGCTTAGACAGATCTAATACGTAATTATTATTATTGTAATTCAAGTTTATGTATGCTTTCTCCGCTCGGTGGATTTTTTTCATGATAAAAAATATGAAGCTCCACAGTCCACGATATTAGAGACACGGCACGCAGTAAATCATCCAGCCTCTCAAAGACCAGACCACGACAAAAAAGACGCATTCTTCATGACATTTCTCCTCCTGCTATCATAAATTACATACCTGGCCATGTTTCCACCCTGATATGGAATGTATGTACATTGTTAAAATTAAGCAAAATTTATGACCAGTCAGCATGTACAGTAGATTTACAAGCACGAAAAACGAAACCATTTCTCCGTGAGGAGAGAAAGGATGCTCCTACATTTTAAATCACCACCGCTTAGTCCTCTCCTCTTCTCACTACAGCGCCCCACATCCGGTCCTCTTCGCCATGTGAAATGCTCACCTGATGCTTCAATATTGAGAAAGCCTTGGAGTAAATCAACGTCACTTCACATCATCGTCGTCTCCAGAGAGTATCGCCACCAAAAGCTTTCAACGGCCCATCAAATATGCAGTAGGTAGCAAATATCCAGTCCAGAAAGGTCTCAGCCAAAGTGGTAAACGGAATCGCGTAACAAAGAATGCCTGAAAGTACAACAACCCTTTTGCTACTACATTCATCATATAATGGCGTAGGCGGTATTATGTGAGTTCTCTCAGAGTTTCGATATGTACCTAAGTAGATACATATTCTGGCTGAAATGTTACAAGTTGTGGAGGAGAATGTCATGTGATGAACTTTTTTTTATTTCGTCGCCCAACAAGTAATTTGTACTTGCAAATTTGTACCAGTCAAACTTTTGTGTGGTGTGGGTTGTTTTCGTCAAAATTCGAATAGAAATTGGATATCTGGCGGGGAGGAAGCTAACTTTTTGTATGTCTCTCTCCTTTATTTTTACGGGGGACGACTCTAATGTAATGTGATGGGTTGAATAGACCAGTGAAAGTTGGTAATGTAATCGGACTTAACGGAGGAGGACATCTGAATGACAACGACACAGCGGGAGTGGATACGCCACGTGTGCTGTTGATCTTTCCAACTTCTTGGGATTACATATTCTATAGGAGAGGAGAGAAGCGATGGTATGGTGGTTTTTACGCCCAAATCGAAATCTGTACTTCCACTTCAACACATGCACATCAATACCCTTTGATTGAAGTTAAGGGATCGAGGGAGAGAGGACATTAGACAAATGTGGCTTGAATTATAGATTATTTGCTTGCTTATGTAGGTCCCAAGTCTGCACGATCAAATTGTCCGTGTAGTTTTATTTCTATTTTCCAACGGAGGAAATACTTGGAATCGGCATCAATAATTCTGAACGATTATGATGCATACTGAATTGGAAAAGTCGGCCGTTTACGATGCATACATTGCTTTAAATCATTGAAATTTTCAAATCGAATAGTTTTAATGAAATTATTTACTGCTATTTATTCATCAGTGTCCTGGGAATAAATGGCACTTAATTTAACGATTCATTAGCATAACACCTTTAAATTAAAGTTGTGGGAAACATGTACAATTTAACAGAAACTGGGTCAAAATGAAATTCTGAGAATTGATGAAATTCAAAGTTGGTGTTTTCCAGCCTCTGGAGAGATAACTCTTCTTCCACTAGCTACAAACCAAATTTATCAGAAACATAAAAAAGTGCAGACCTTCACAACAACTTTGTATGACATGATTTTCAAATCAAGAAAGTTGAGATTTTCTGAAGTGAAAATTTCCACCGAGCTTGCAAAATTCTCAAGAGACTGAAAAAAATGTGATGAAATAGAAGGAAAAGAAGACACATTTTATTTGGCAACAGTTCTCCTATACAAAATTGGAATAACTAGACCCAAGCGAGTGAAACTTATCTGGTGGTGTGGCCTTACCTGGCATGTACCTGACTGAAAATTTAGGTAGGCGTATTCCATATCTAACAATGGAGGTCTCCAAGCGTATGTTCATAGATTTTGACCAAACTGATGTCCATCGATCAGAAATCTAATTAATATGAAATTTGAAAATGGCACCATCTCCCAATGGTCGCGTTTGGCGGAGATATTTGCATCCAAAGAGGAGAAAATGGGCCCTAAAGTAGACAAATTTTACGCTTTCCAAATATGCTTTCTCCTCTTCGAATGCAAATATCTCTGCCAAAATCTGAGCATTGGAAGATAGTGTTTTTTTGCAAATTTAATATTAATCAAATTTATGATCGATTGACACTAATTTGACCAAAATCTGTGAGCATACACGGTGAGACCCCCATTGGAAGTAGGTCCAACTTGTGCATGGATCGACAGAGTGAAAGTAATGTCAACACATGTCTGGGTATGTTTTGCGTGGGTGTGTCAAACGTGCAATCACAGCTGGTGGAACTGTTATTTTATTGAAGCCTTAAATATGAAATTTGAGTAGGAAATAGGAGAAAATGTGTTTTGTCGGGTGTATGTATTAACAATTCGCTGATTGAGCTTGATGACGTGTGCCAAAAAATACAAGTTGTGTAACTTGTATAATAAATCCATACCTACAAATGTGTGTCAGTTTCATATATGGGGTACGAAGCATATGTAAATACATCCATTTACTGCAAATACTGCTTCAGACGGTGACAAGCATAAAATGCTCCCACTCAACTTTTATAAAGTCAAAAATACTCTGCGTCTACGTAGAGGATCCAAATTTCTCAGAATGAACAGAATCTTACTCATCAGCAAAAGTTTTACATTTTGAATATGTGGGTCAAAAATGATTTATAAAATTAAGTATTTTTTTCAAAACAATCAGAATCCTAAGAGAGAGAGAAAGTACGAAAATTAGCTATTCGCGATTACATTGGGACTACAAAATCCAGATTTTCTACCCATTTTCAACGTAAATGCCTTAGCTGTGTGTATCATTACATAATCCAAAGATCACCTCATGACGTAAAATTAGCATATTTTTCGGTGCCCACTACCAATTACCAAGTGCCTTGAAGCCGAAAGGATTATAATACACACCGGTCTCGATATTTCTCCGCGTTATAAAACACCCACGTATGACGTATCCCTCCTCGTGCATAGGTTATCCCTTTGTTCGCCATCGGCCGTTCCGCTTAACCTTTCTCAGTCTCTAATGTAATTTTGTTGACGGACAGGAGAGAAAAACCCACCTAAAAACCTAACCTATCACATTATATTACGAACGAACCAGACGCAAACACCCGCAAGCAGTGGTGTTTTTGTCTGATGAAATCTGATCCAAATCGTATTTGTTACTATCAAAATGCAACACGACTTCCCTTTCCCTCCTTTCACAAAGAAAAATCAGTTTCTGAAGCTGTTGACACTTGAGTAGTATTTCCAAATTTAAATTCTGCAAGCGTGCTTTGTCCTTGTAAATAAATCACCATATGCAATCACCCTCCTCCTCCAGGCTCACCCACCCACCCAAAATGGCATATAAATCCACTCTATTCTATACTTTCTCTCTTCATCACTTTTTAACCCGAATCGGGGCTTATGCACCATCGTGTCCGTCTGTCCGACTAACTCTCTTTAAATTCATCCTACCAACTTGAAATTTTGCACACGTGTATTTAATATGCATCAAATGAGGAGTTATACAAGTTCGAAAATGGCCTATGGCACATGAAGTAAGTTTATTTTATTGCAGACAAATACTACGAAATAGATAGAATTGAGGTCATCGAGTCCTGGACTTGATTGCATTTTGTTTCGGTCAAGATAATTGGAAATGTCACACGAGAGTACAACTAATAATTATTAGAGGTGAATCTCAAGTTTCTTATCCAATCACTTTTCCAGACAACTCTGATAACACTTACGTACATAGTTCTCAACCAAAGTATGAAGTTGTTCCGATGGTGATGTATCGTAAAAGTTGTGGCCTCAACAAAGCCCTGCCACTGAGGACGACGATAATGAAGTGCTCGATATTTTTATGGTGCTACAATAAGCAAACAGCAACATGAAAATTCCATTGTGTTATTTTTTGACAGCAACATTTTCACCTTCCTTCCCAAACTTTCTTTGTATGCTTTCCTTCCCCAAAAAGTACGTGCATTGATTGAACAAATATATTCGCTATATCATTATCGACCATTCAACACGCCTTTCTCCCTGTCTTTCGCTCCCAAAAGCATACTCACAAGTGAGTTCGCAGTACTTGGCACACACTAGAATTTGCAACTTTCACAATATTTTGTATTTATTTCTTCCCCAGATTTAGGATAGCACACGTAACAGAACGGCAAAAATACAGTCTAGGAAAAGGGAATGCGAGGGGTGTGACTATTTCGAGAGGTAATCACACACAAAAATCAATGTTTGTTTGATTCTCAACTTTTATTGAGCGTGTTGTGTTGTGGATTGCCGAGTGAGATTATTGTAACGGATGCAAGCTTTTTTTTCCTACTCACGCGTAAAAACAGAAACATTTCAAATGTGGAAGAAATAGAAATGGTGGAAAAAATTATTTGCGAAATCGACGGTGTGTTCCGAAAAGGCGATAGATTTGAGTGGCACCTTTATAAAGCAGGCAGAATTCACAACTCACACGGCAGAACAATCCCTCTTCAACTTGAATCTCTCGCCATGCATCAATAATAAATTTATGCAGGTATGGAATAATGGGTTGAATAGAAAATCCGTTTTTGAAGGGCATGCCACGTAGAAAATGCAGTATTAATGCAGCACCGAACCATGGTTCGGTTAATATGCTGTGAATAATAAGCAGAGTATTCTACACATAATCCAGTCCTATGCACATGAATACAGACAACATGCAAACAAGTAGGGATACAATGACACAATTCCTGACAACGCACATCACTCGGAAATAATAAGTCTGTGTTCCAAATTTCCTGATGTCGGATATACAGTACACGGACGGAAAATTCAGATTGCGAGATATTATTACCAAATCTGACTGTCATCTCGCTTGAATTGGATCGGAACGTCATCCGACGTTTTGGTGACGGACGAACAAATTCCATTATTAATTGCTACTTCCATTCCACCTACGTACGAATATTTCAATTGAATAGTCTCTCTTTCTCATTGTCAATCTTAAAGATTGTCACATTTTACCACTAACCGACCGTCTCACCAACCTCACATTTATCTTTTCACGTCATGTTCCTTTAGGAGTTTTGTCCTTGAAATTTCTTTAGGGAGAAACGAAACAGTTCTGCAATTGACTTAAGAAAACAGGTCGCGATTAACTGTCAGACGTTGTGTCGTACCTACGTGTTCGTTCCTTTGAAAAGTGGGATTCAAGAGAGCAAAGCAACAAATGATGTTTTTATTCTATTCCCATTTGAATTGAATTCTATCTCGGTCGCCACTTGACATCATATTGTGTGTTTCGCCGAGAAACGAAGGATAAGCTGTGGGATCCATGTCGTGCGCTGGTATTAAGTAAGAGACCAGACCAGACCAGACCACCCACCCGTGGTTCTCCTACATTTTCCTTCTCCATGAAAATTCGCGAATAATTCTTGCAAAACCTTTCCCATACGTATTTACGATTATGTTATGTATGTTGTAACGCATTATACGGGTGGGTTCAATTTATTATCTCTTGATAAGAGAACCTTGTCAATGTCGCACAATAGCTTATGAGATGAGATAACCGATAACAAAGAGTTGAATGGAATCTAGTCGTTCGAATGCATGTATTTTGTTGTACCTATTTCTGTACCACGACCACAGCTGCCACGCCACCCTTCTTCCGAGATAAATGCAACAGTCTTTCATAAAATTGTCATCTCTTCTTTTCCAGAATTTTTCTCATTTCACACACGACTCGTTTTGCCTGCTTTATTCCTGAGAACAAACCCAGGTGATTGGCCAACTCGACCGAAAGTTAGATTTTTCAAATAGGATTGCGGCGACATAATTCTGAATTTTTTCAGGCAAACGGGAAACGTTGAGCCACCGGCGGAGACGGAACCGCTCATTCGTCAAACCAGGAGGATTTTAATGATACGTTCTTATCCTCACGTGTAATACAAAATGCATGCGAATACGAAGTATTTTTTAATTCTTGCTATTGAGAAAGGAGAAAGGAGAGGAAAAAAATGATTTTGGCACAAAGAATTAGCTCTTTGATTTTCCATTTTGAATTTGGCCTTAGTTTTCCACATGAGTGGATCTCTGAGAGAGGAGAATATGTTAATGCAAGACTATATGCATGTCGGATCTTACGGAATTGTCAATTTAGTTTGGTTTCATTTCCTTACTCAAGTTTAAACTTGGAAGATCCAGCAAAATCCTCAGGAAGCTTTAGGAAACCGCACAATTCATACTTCACCAAGGAGCAGGCGAAGGCTCACATCAATCATCTCTTCTTCGTGGTTGGAGGAGGATGGAGAAAGGAAATGTCAAGTATTGAATATGTTGATTTTGTTACTCTTGAATTCGTTCGGATAGGAAATGGAGTCAGCGGAGTGGAAAAAAATGAATTCCTTCTTAGCCACATCCTACTTGTGTCAAAGTCAAAATGATTCTTGGTACGCTTTCTTCTCGAAAAACACACGGCTTTCTTCACCAGCGGAAAGAAAAAGGAAGGAAAATCTCACTGTGACTGAAACGGTGAAAGGTCGGATATTTTAACTCTTTTGCGACCGGATAAACCTGCAAAGCTTGCTGTTTTTCGCCGGATTTGTTGTGTTCGCTTGCTACAAATCCATTTTAGACTTGGGCTAAAATACATTTTGTAATCCATCATTACAAATAATGACGCTTCTTCAATTCGTAAAATGTTTGGAATTACGGATTCAGCAGGAAGAACCGTGCTTTATTTTACCTTTAACCACTACTTGCCAATTTTCACTTTATTACTTTGTTAATGTGTTCTCAAAGAGCATTGAATCCTAACGAGGGTTCATTTCCATTCCACCACCGGCTGTTTCATAATTCATGAGTATGCTAATATATTTAGAATTCCCATTAGTGCAAGCACAGACTGACTGACAGATCAGCTTTGCTTTATTGTCTTCCAACTTTTCACTCAATTTTATCATAGAAAGGCAGAGACCAGACCAGACCAGACCACGCTTTGGTGGGGTTTTTCAAGGCTGGGCGTTAAGTTATCTGGCTTTAAACACACAAGAATACAGTCACAGTGTGTAAGACATCAGAGGAACAGAATAGAGAGAGAAACTCCTCCAGCACTTTGCTTTACGCTTTACCAAAGTCAGAACAATTTTCAAAGAAGGTTGTAATCATGAAAGGGGAAATTTCATAATCTGCTTAGACACGCTGAACTAAAATTGGCCTAGTTTTAATGCAGATCTGATCCAATTAACATGATTTCTATTTATAGGGTTAATTATTGTCGGAGATGTCATCCCTTTATTGTAAGACGATGCTATCAAGGTTATCTACTCAGCCAAAGGAATGCAATTAAGACCTTTAAATTTGATAAGTTTTCAAGGTTATATTCTCTTGATCTCTTACTCCTTGATCATATCTACATACAGCAGGTACTTAAATTGAATATTAGCCACAAGATAATAATTAATTACACAAATCAATATCACTTTCTCCTCCCACGCCGACACAAAGGTCGTGAAACAGCACGGTTTCATCTCTGCTCAGCACGGCCTCCTGAACGCTCCTATAAATCCCCCATTTTGGTCGGATGAATTGTGTCCCGTTACGCCAAAGGTCAATACCAGAAAGGTTATTATATTCCAGCAGCGTCGCCCCGTCTGACCACCTACTCAGATTGATCGTGTAGGTCCCATTGTGTCCAAACGTCACGTGCGATACGACATGGATCCACTCTCCGAGGAAGGGTTGGAGTGGGACGGAAGTCAAGAAATGGAGGGCTCCTCTGGAATCATACTGTAACAATTGGAGCTCGTTGGGATTTGATTTTCGTGGGGTGACCGTAATCAATGGCATGCTGTCATCCCTCCGACCGCTTTTAGCTGATGAATATGACAAAAACTGTACGGTGGGAGGAAACCAGAGTCCAGTTTGAAGTTCCAGGAGAGACTCATTCTATCCTCGGCATGTCCGACGAGTTGAGTTTCTGGAGGTGCGTTTAAGTTTTCATTCGTCTTGATTTCGTTCCTCTGCCGGTCGAATTTCGAGCACCTGTCGTCATCTTCTCGAATGTGGAGATGAAAAGCAAACACGGAGGAGTTTAGAGTGGGATCGAACTGTTGCGTGATGTGAGGACCGAATTGGGTGTGGTTGCAGTCCGGAACTTCTATGGCAGAGGATCCCTCGCCAAATACGGAATTAATTAATTGGTAACTTCCGGTTACTCCGTCAGGGTGAAGGGTGATTTTCCCTTCGACACTTCCGGGCGTGAAAGTGTAGGCCACCGCGATGGTGAGAAATGTGGTGGTCAAAAGTCGGAAATTAATGTACATGATTGAATTTATGGATAACAAGTTACGAGATGAGAGGCAAATTATGGAATCAATCGTAATGCAATGTCGAGCTGTTTTCAACTAACCACAAAAACAGAGTGATTGATTGGCTATTTATAAGTAAACTAATTAATTACATGTCAATGAATAGTTGATTGCAAAATATTCGAGTTGTGCGATATACATACAAATACCAATTTATTATCATATAATTAACCCATCAATCACTCTTTAGTTAATGTCATTAGTTGGATATCAAAGCAATCGAGTAAAGTTTTATCTCGCAGTAAACTATGAATCATAATTTGCACCAAATATTCCTAGATGATCAAATTCGGTCTGAAATTTTGCAGATTTCTAACAAAACATTAATAATTCATTGACGAGCAGTATTATGCAAGATGGGATTACATAACACCATTACTCTATCGCTATTGTGGTCCGTTTTAATCAAAACCCCATCAACTAAACCCAAGGATTTTCTCTCTTTCCTTCAAAACTTTAATGTAACACGCTTTTATCCGACCTTTAACTTTCCCCGTCATTTTCTGCACTGGAATAGTGTGTAAGAAAGGGATTTGCTTTCCCCTGCTGTACACCCTGTTCCTCGCCTCCTTTTCATGTTTCTCCCAATACTTAGAAAATCCGAGTCCTTTAAGAACATGCACCGTCCTCCTTCGTTCCGCTCTCTGCGAAAAATGCAATTTACTTCGAGTTGTTCTTGAGTCGGATATTTACCAACTTTTATTGTGTCCTTTGCAACATAATGAAAAAGTACTCCAGATGATACATATTTGTTGTCTGTACTATTTTACATGCCTCCAGAAATTTTGCTCATACTTCTTCTGCATGTATTGTGTATTTTTGTAGGTACATGTGCATTATTGATGAAATATTTTTGAAGGAATTTCATAATTGTAAGTAAACAAGTTTAAGAATTGACTTTCAACTCGTAGTCTCCACTCCGTAAATAAAATACTTCCATAAAGAGCCAATATAATCGAAGAGCGCTCATCATAAGTAACCCCAAAAGGCGTCATTTATTGCAAATATTCCATCCAATCTGTTATTATTTCGCTCAGCTCAGCGCTCTTGGCTTTTCCTCACTTACTTTGTTGTTCAACTTTTTCTACTTTATTTTGCCACTCTGACTCTAAAGAAAATCGATGAAAGGAACCGATCTTAAGAAAGAAAGAAGGCAACCCCAGAGTAAAAGAGAACGTTCAACTCGAACAATTCAACATTCAGCGTTTTTGTGGTGTAGAACCAGAGATCGGACACGAAACAAAGATCTCCACTCACAAAAGAAAGCATGAAGGCAGACCTCTGCTCAAGAGATGAACCCAGAAAATCAGGAGCCAACCCGGGATGCATGTCTTATTGTCTGCTTGCTTACTTACTTTGTTGTGGAAAAATTTTAAATCGAAAAAATTTTGCTGAGATTAATAATTTAGAAAATAATTAAGTGAGTTGCAAAAAAGTTGAAATTGTTGGGTTTTCAGAATTTCGTAAACTAACATTTTGGCAAAAATGTGACGGCCATGCTGAATAAATTAAATTGTGTGTTGCATAATTTTATTAAAAAGAGAAACTGCAAGTAAGCATTATGAATTAATGTGTACTTCTCATGTTACAAAATTGTATACATTTCAGCCTAGTTTGTATAATAATAAGGATTTTTTTTGCAAAAATCTGTTATTATTCCATTGTTATTATTATCCAACTACACGGGGATAAGGGAGAGTTTGTATCTCAGAAAGAAAAGAAATGCCCCTCAGCCTCCCTCGTGACCAGATGAAAGAAAAAAAGTCAGCGAGATGGGGAGGACAAAGAAAGGTCTTTTCACTCACAAAATACTATATTTCGAACAATAAGCAAATCTCTCACTCATGGATGAAAGCAATCTCAAGTTAGTTTCCTCCTGATTTTTAAATGGACTCAGTCTCCGTGAGTAATCACCAGATCGGATGTTTTTCCCTTCCTCTTCCTCTTCTTAAGATGGGATGGCTCGATCTGGAAATTTGTTCTGCAGCATGTTCCTTCACTTGAGTCGGTCTGTGAGTGATAATACAATAAAGATTTTTTTAGATAAATTTCCTAGAACCGGTAATAAGTAAGTCTTTGTTTGTTGTCTTTGTTTTGAAAACAAGTTGGAAATTTTTTTAGTTCAAATTGCACCTGTGGACTTACTACTCGGTGAAAATAAGATCTCTTTTTTGATTAACAAATCCTACCTTGAACGAGATAAGGCATGATTGGGAATTAATTGGACCAAGTTCTGAGTTTATATTTAGTGACATCACAGAGGTGAATTATTTCCCGTTATTAATATTCCGTCATCTTATCTAGATATCTAACCTTTCTGGTGGAAACTTCCACATATTTCCACTTTCTCCAATGTAAACTATTGGAATCATCCGTTGAGCCAGAGACCATTATAAATTTCCACCTTCCAACTTATCGCAATACTGCACACGGACTATGTATGTAACTATTCCTGATAAAAATCGTACCAAAACTTGTAATCTATTATTTCAACTCTACTTCCACCACTTTCTCCAAACTATTGAACAGAAATGATGTATATATATTTTTGGATATGCCGAATACAAACAATATTTCAGCCTTGTCTCTCTAATAATATGAATATTTTTTCATGCGGCAAAATTCAATATACTTTACATAACTTGAATTCTCTCCTTTGTACACATTTTTCCCAAAATTTCCGAATCTTTTTAAAGAGAAAGTCTTCCACTGTTGTGAGTCTGGTATTGTGTACGTAATGGGGAGCAGTAGTAGTAGAGCAGCGTAGCAGTAAGTATGCAGCTTGGTCGTGCTGATAATAGAAGGAATAACTATTTGTCATTCGGTCTTGGCCAGTTTTTCTCTATGCACTCCTCCTCCTATCGCTGAGTTTTTAGCTTCGTCGCTTATGGTGCAAGTTTACTAACTCCTACTTACTCAAAAACTTTCACTTTTATTCCCCAAATCTCGACAAGAAAGTTTTCCCTGTTTCCAGAGTCAGGCCATGCACCCGACCGAGAATGGTCTTCATCCTTTCGCATTATTTTCCCTCACTCCTGCTCCGTAAAGGATTGCGAGTGTGGTGGACAAAAAGTGATTCAAAGTCAAAGTACAATACTTTCCCCGCCTACTGGACTATGCGAGTACGAAGCGAATGCATGTATGCATGAGGAGGGCGACGCATTATTGAATTGACCAAGAGACGGGACGTGCGTGATGCCCCTGAAAAGGCTAATGTTCTCCTTGAGATGATATATTGTAATGATTTTCACGAAATTTTTGGAATATTGGCAATAATTCTTGTCCCTTTTTAGGAAATTTATGTACGTACATCACCCTGATGTATATACATTTGCTTAAATGTCACGTGCTATACAAGCCACTTGTTCTCCTCGGAACGCATTTTCCTCCATGCATTCTGTAATGTAATTTTCTGAAACCTCTTTTCCAAGCTGTCATGTTCAATACACTTTCAATGAAAATATGGTTACAAATAGGGACATTACTCGAGAGCGCATGCAACATATGGAAATAATTCAGTTATCTCTGCCTCATCTCTTCCTCTCTCTCTCCCTTTCCGTAAGAGTCGAACAGGGCGAATAGTTCGCAAAGAAAGATGAATCTTTCAATTCTATTAGGGGACATAAGTCAAGAAAACTCCACGCCACGGGTGAATTTTCTATTACTCGTAGAATAAGGACGACGATGCGTGTTAGTGGGAGCTGAGCAATAAAGGAGAGAAAGTGAATGGCAAATGGGATCGTGGAAGGGAAATTAACCAGTGAAATTTGCGAAATGGAAAATGTCTGGGCCAGATGGGGTACTCATTCATTTGATGATAGCAACCAAGGAACACATCACATCGGCAATCCATCCGATTATTTTTGAAGGAATGCACACCCGAGTGAAAGCCATGCATTTTGAGGAGTTGTGTGCTTTATGAATGCTTCGAAATGTGCATATGCTCAGAAATTTACCATTGCTTTAAACCTTGGAAAGCGCGATTCGAACCTGTTTCTTATTCGAAACCACCACCCGCTCGACTTGCTAATGATACTTTGGATCATGTTTCCATCATCATTACGATCAAGACAAGCAAGTCTTTGGCTTCGTCTCTTCTACTTTTCTTTCGCTTGCTTGGTGGATGAATTTAAACAGGATTGCAGATAGCGGAATCTTGCTTGATCTAACATCTGGGAAATTGAAATTGATCCCGATCTCTCATCAACATGGGGATGGAATAGGAGCTCCAAGTGGCTTCAATGATCTCATTACAGGACACTTCGCCCTTCCTTGATTTCATCAGCAAGGAGAAGTGAAAGACATTGAAAAGTAAAGTAGTCGGTGACTTGTTAGCATTTATTCCTTCTTTTTAAACTTGGTTATAGGTACGTACGTATGGATTGATCTCTAATTTGATGCTAAGGTCGCACATGCATATAAGATCACCACCACCTCGAAAAATGCTACCTAACTCACTTTCTATCTCTCCTTTTCCCCTAGTGTAATTTCCCCCAAAAAATATACCATCTCATATTTTCTCCAACTCCCTCCCCAGAGGAGCAAAGCGCAGCCCAGGCGTCGTGATTTAAGCAAATGAGACAAAGATCGCTATCGCCTTTTAATTCAATCTTCCAAGTTTCAATATAAGCAGAGAAACTTCTGCTTTGTCACACTTTCACGAACTTTGCTCCGACGTGTACCACCAGCGAGCGTCTTTATTTAAAAAGTGTCACTTCAATCTCTCTTAAACAGCAGGTCTGCCTATGCGACTATACCACTTCGCCTTACTCAATCTAAGTAAGTACAACGGCAAAGCATGTTTTCTTCCACTCAGACTCTCAGAAACTTTATAAAAGTTTTCGCATTTAGAGATGAAAAAAGTTAAAAATTTAATTCAAGATAATGCAATCAAAACCAACGTTCCACTTTCTCTCTTTTTGAACACGTTGCTCACTCACTCGCTCACTCGCTATGTGTGCAACTGAACTGATATCACGAACCACACCACGAGGAGGAAGATTCTTTTCGTGCAAAGATTTTCTCGCTCGACTTAGCTTAGCTCGATCCAAGTGAAAGTTGTCCATACACAGCAAAGTTGCGGATGATTGTTGGACGCGGTGGTCGGCTGGTGGTCGTGTTGAAGATGAAGGAGAGAGGAGAAAATGAAATTTCTTCAGGATTAAGCTCAAGTTTATCTTCGTCTGGTTTTAGCGAAGCAATCAAGAGCAGCTGAGAAAATTAAGGAGCCACGTTACGACTTAATTTCAGTTTATATAGATATTTGTCGTGAAAAAGGAGTAAGACTTCAAACGGAATGTTGTAAAACTGTGGGCTAAAAATTTGAAGGTTATAGTTTAAATTAGATGAGTAGTGGTGGGTCGTTGTAATCGGTCCCACCGTGCAGACTGCCACCCTTAAGTGCTTCAAGCCCTACATATATGGCGGGCGGGCGGGAGAGATGATGCAAGAAATGGGCACAGATCCGAATGACCCTATCAAAATAAGTAAGCGGGAGAGTTACGTTGACAAAATTTTGGAATTTGGATTGCACTAGTTGGTTCGTTCCTTCGTGTGTGTGTGATCATAAAGGAAACCTGGTACAAATTTACGATTGTGCTTAATCATATAAACTGCTTTTGTTTTTACTTGCTCCAAATTCCAGAGGCATCATCCTTACTCATATCTCTATATCATTTATATACCTATCTAGCTCCCTGTGTCGTAAATCTGCCTGACCGAAAACTACTAAAAAATTTATTAATTTCAAAATTTCATTCCTTCACCTCCATGCATGCTTGTGTCACATGATTAAATTAAAATTGGTGGACTGTACAAAATCTGTGCTCACTCAGATGGAAAGTTGGTCATTTCTCAACCACATGTGAGCAGCGTGATTATCTGCCCTCTTTCAGTCAGTGATGTCTCATGTTTAAAGTTGATGGAATCGGTTAGTTGGTTTGGTTGGTGAGCAGAATTTTCCCCGGCTCGTGTGACACATGACAAATGTGGCTGTCTCAGAATGTCAACCACATCGACAAAAGCTCATTTGCAAGCACGCTTTCCCATCATCATCAAACACAAACCAATGTCAGTCTCCTACTATCCGTCTGCCTGTCTTCCGCCCCCCCGCCCACCAGACCACTCGACAGTTGAATAAACCTGGCAAAAATATGGCGAAAAAAGAGACCTACAAGTTAAATAATGCTAGTTCAAAGTGATGGAGGTGGTGGTGCAAGATGAGAGGATGGCTTGATCCATAATGCTTTTGTTTTATTTTCTGTCCGTTTTTCGGGGAGGAGGAGGCGGGTATTAGCGGAGAGAAGTGTGGTGATGAAATGGTGCAGAAGGGCAGAGCAGAATCCTTCAATTATTAATGACTTTGCGTGTATGCTTTCTCCTCTCATCCCGACCGACTCGAGAACGAAACCATTCTCGCGTTGCTTTCTCTCTTGGATATTCGAGCAGAATTATTAGATAATGCTGTGTGTGTAGTGGTGGTAAAGGAAAATGCACTTTTGATCGTTCCTCCTGTGCTGCTGCATCGCAATAATTTACGAGCGGTTCGTTCAATGGGAAGATAAGTGGGAAACGTGGGGGGAATAAGCTTACTTAAAAATAGACAAATATAACAAAAGCAATTGTTCTGAAGGACACAAATCTGATTAAATGAAATCTCAAAATACGACTGGGATTACAAGAAGGCTAAAAATACACCGAGTAAAATTGATGAAACGCATCTGTGCCATGTGCCACTAACAAATTAAGCTGGTTTTAGCCGGATTAGTTTCTCCGACCAAAAATACTTAAATAAATATCGGCGTGTAAACCACCATTGTAGGCGAGAGACGACTTCTGGGAAAGGACGAAGGGTCACATCTCTACGCCTACGAGGATGAAATCGTGGAGGAACAAGGATAATGATAAAATAGCACTTTCTCTCTCTCTCGTCTCGTCGTTTTGAAAGGTGATTAATCATTTTCTTAGCAGAGATCACGCACTCTAAAGAAAGATACTAAAGAAATTCGGCT